CCCTCAGGATCCCCTGGAGCTGGAGTTACAGGTGGTTGTTAACCTCCTGATGTCTGTGCCAGCAGCTGAACTCAGGTCTTCTGAAAGAGCAGGAAGTGTGCTTTATCACTATGGCATCTCTCCAGCCCCAAAGATGTTTTTCTCAATTTGATTTTTTAAAACATTGTTTTCTTAATTTGTACATACTTACTTTTTAAATATATGTAAGAAGAGGGGAAAAAGGAAAGCGAAGTCACCTATATTTCATACCACTCCTTGGCACATTTCTTCCAGACTTTTTCTACTTGATAATTTATCTATAAATACACTTTGAATAGGTATTAACATTTTTCTCTTAGTAGCACATTAGCATTTCCCTATTCCTACACAATTACAGAATGGCTGTGTGCAGTTCCATTATTCTTTCCTTTTGCTTTTTCTATTTCTGGTTTGTTATTTGATATTATAAATGAAGCGGTAGGGAGAGATGTCAAAGTGAATTTGGAGATGGAAGAGGAATATTCTCTCTCTTTCAGGTTTTATGTTTTGATTTTAAATTTTTTATTCCTTACGAATTTCATAGATGTGTACAATATATTTTGGTCATATCTGCCACTTCACAGTCCAACTCTCCCAGGACTCCCTCCAAACACATCCCAACTTCACGTCATGTATTGTTATAGATACAGATATATAAATATCCTGCTGAGTCCATTAGTACTGTCTCCATACACACAGAAGCAGAGGTATCCATCAGAGCACAGGCACCCTCAAGTGGCCACACCCCCAAAGAAGAGTCTCCCTCCTCCAGCAGCCATCTGCTCTCAGTTGCTCCTCAGCTAAGAGGTGGGACCTTTGTGGGCCCATCGTTTATCCACAGTGGAATTTTGACTGGTTTGGTCTTGTTCAGCTGCCAAAGGAGAAAGATGCCGCTGGAACCTTACTGATAGGTCACAGCCTTATGGTGATACACAGATTAATAGAAATGCTGGGAGAAAGAAGGCAGAGTCTGATAGACACCATGTAGCTGCCGAAGGAGAAGGGCACCGCTGAGACCTTACTCAGCCTTGTGGTGATACACAGATTTATAAAAATGGATTGATTTAAGATGTAAAAGCTAGCTAGGAATATTCCTAAACTATAGGAATATGCACAAACAGTGTTGTCATTAATATATTTTTTGTGTGATTATTCGGGTCTGGGCACCCGGGAAACGAATAAGCAGCCTCTGATTATGGTTCCCAGACAAACTGTGTGTGTCCTTAGTGGAGCAGGCAGAAAAGACCCACCCTCAATGTTGGTGGGCATCATCCAATGCTGGCACAGTCAGGATCGGCTTTCTTGCCACTGTAGATGAGCTGAGTACTATAAGAGATCCCATGTCCTTCAAAGCTTAAATGATCTCCTGCCCTGCTCTTTATGATGGATGATGTACTATTTCAGGAGAAAGGCAAACACTTATGTGAGCTATTTCCCCACCTGCAGTTTCCGCCCTTCCCTGTCTCAGGGACTGACCTGTAAGAACAACATCACTCAGACTTGTTCTCCAGTTTTGTCCACAGAAATAACCAGCCAAAGACAGGAGAGAAGAGGTGAGATTGAGGTGTTTCTCCATTCAGCACCTGGCTGGTGCGCTGGATCTCTACAAATATAAACCCTTCTGGGCTCATGGGCTCCAGGTCTCTCCAGCCTTCCATAAATACTGTCTCCCCTCATCTCTTCAGTCTTAAGGGTGTTGATGGTTTGCCACTTCCTAAGTTCCTCAATATTCCTTTATGGTTCCCTTGTCCATGACTCTGCAAAGCAAGTTTTATTTAAACACTGGGCTGTCTTCTATTCCTATCTGAAGCAGACTGATTGGAAAGTCTATGTTCAACATGATGGCATTGAGAAGGATGGGGAAGAGGTCTCACTGGTGAGGAGGGATAAAAAGGACACACTTGAAAGCACATGAGAGGTCAGATGGAGAGGATTTGGGGAGATATTTGGGAAAGCAAAGGGTAGATATTTTCCTTGCCCTTGTTTTGCATGCTTTTGTGCAGGGACAATCAACAACAAGGAGGGACACTTATGAACTCACTCGCCCCCATTTTGTTGTGGGAAAATGCCAATTAGGATATGTCTGGGGCATGTTGAATTATGGAGAGCCTTGGAGTTGCTCCAGAGGACTGAGTCAGCGACTGATGAAGAAGGTGTGATCTGAAACACATCTCTTTCATATGGCTCTCAGGTTAGCTCAAGGAAAGCTTTCCTTCCATCTCTGCCCTGCTCCCAAATACGAGATTGTGTGCTCCAGGCTAAGATGGACTAACATCAGTTCTCACCACGATAATCTTATGGCTAGCTCTATGTCTGTGGTCTCAAGTAGAATTTAGTGTCTGTGAATGCAAAGACTTTGCCTTATTCAGTGAAAATCCCTATTGTCTTAGCACAATGCCTTGCATGTGGTAGGAATTTAAAAATCATTCAAGTAAATAAATTAGTCAATTATTTGGGGGGACTGCTGTGGTAAACCAGAGTTGCCCGCTACTTAGATGTCCAAGATTCAGACTACCCAGTGCTGATTCTGTGGGCCTGACATGGAAGCTTTAGCTCCTCTTCTTACTCGAGTACATGGCTCTACTTTCTTTATTCAGTCTTTTTATAACTCAGCACACTGAACCAAGGCTTTCCAGGTGACTCAGCTTATTGGACCAATGACTTTCTAGATGACTCAGCACACTGGACCAATGACTTCCCAGATGACTCAGCACACTGGACCAATGACTTTCCAGGTGACTCAACACACTGGACCAATAACTTCCCAGATGACTCAGCACACTGGACCAATGACTTTCCAGGTAACTCAGCTCACTGGACCAATGACTTTCCAGGTGACTCATTTCTGAAGGGCCTAAGTCTGTTCATGTTTGACCATGTTCCAAAGAAAACCAAAGTTGCATGCATGTGAAGGTCTAAGTTTAAAACACAGGTTTCAAACCAAATATATGAACCCAAGAGACTGTGGATAGTGTCGCATTCTGGGTGCGTAGTGAGCTCTGTTGGGCTTGTGAGCTCTGTTGGGCTTGAAAAGATTTGGGGACTATTTTGTTGCCTTTCCCCAAGGCATTTGTTGCTTTCTGGAACCATTTCCAATAAAAAGGTTTTTGACCTTTACAACTTTGAGATTCACTAAAAACTTTGTAAGTTTTTCCCCCTTGGGAAAAAATGCTAATGTGTACATTTCTGCAACACATTTGCCTGGAATATCATCAGAGGTATTCAGGAACCGCTCCAAGAATTTCCAGTTAAAATTATTCTAACCTATTTCAAAATCAGCCATCCAGAGTCAAGAGTCCAGCTCCGCTTGCTTAGCCAGGTGACCCTGGAAGTTGTTAGTTACATAGGGATGGTAGGGGGAGAACCCCCGACTGAACAGCATCAAAGAGCTGGCAGGGCATGAAATACAGTGAAATGAAATTAAACCATGGTTTTGCATTTTTCCACTGAAGTTTTAAGTGTATCTTTAGATGCAGCTTTCACTTTAATCAAAATAGCTTAATTTAGGGGAAAAAGAACCCACTTCTTTTTTCTTTATAAAATCCTGAGTTTATTGCTTCCTGAATGTATTTTTTTTTCTTTTTAAGGAAGAAACACATACCATCTGCTCTGAGGAGTTCGTTTGACAGCTCAGCCAGGGTCATGCTAGGATTCCGAAACTGCTGAGTGTGAAAGAGAGGCCCGAGGTATAAGTCTGACACAGGTATTGGCAGCAGGGATCAACCTAAGCAGTGTGGGCGCAGGGGTGGGGTACTGCCAGGCTTTGGGGTCATGTGTGAATTCTGATGAATCTCCTCATCAGTCATACCTTGTCCTACAGCCTCCAGGGACTTGCGTCAGGCCCATGGAGAAGCAGTAACAACGATTAAATATTAAAACTTCATTTAAGTCTCTGGAAAGCCTGCTGTGGATCCTGATGGCTGCGCATTGAGTATACCCGTGACTTCCTGCCTGAGAGCAGTTTCTGCCGCAAATGGAGCAAGCCTGGACAAACATCTTGAGAAAGTTAAGCCTTTAGACAATTACAGATAGGGGTTTGGTGAGGAAGCGGCCCTCTGTATGGATATGGAGTATTTTCTCTGAATTTGTCTATTGTTAGTGGACTAGACATTATTGATTTATTTATTGCCTGTATATATTGTAGTTATTGTATTTATTGTATATAGTTTCTTACATTAATTATAACATTTTTTTATTTTTAGGCAATAAAAGGGGAAAGGTGATATTTTGTTTGTACAAATAAATCTTTCCTCAAGATTAGAGGGCGGAGCTTAGCCACTAGCTAACCATAGAGCTCTGGATGTCTGTACAGACAGAAAAAACGATAAAGCTAGAAGAGAGGAAGTGATAAGGCAGCGGGAGAGAGGAGCTCAGTCTCTATCAGTGGTGAAGGTAAAGTGGCTGTGGTTTTGCTCCTTTGTCTCTGATCTCAGCATCCACCCCCCCCCCCCCCCCCCCCCCCCCCCCCCCCCCCGTATCTGACTCTGGGCTTTCATTGCTAAAACCTATTAGAACTTGTGCTACACAAATTTTTTGTTATTCATCTGAAATTCATGTTCAACTGGGTACTTTAACTTTTACCTTGCCACCTTATACCTCAATAAAAATTGGTTACTAAATGAATAGATGCATGATGAGCAAATGGAGCAGTGGATGAGCAAAAGTTGATGACCAGAATCCTTATGTAAATGACACCCAGCAATCACAAAGCATCACAATCACAGCAGGCGGCCTTCTGCCTTTTAAAATTCAGTCTGGCTGTGACTTGAGATGAGTTTTGTAGCTAAGTTTTGTGAGTCATCTTTATACCACGTGCGAGTGTCTTGTCCCAGCAACCTTACACCTGAATTCCACACATTCCTGGCTAATTGTTTATTAGTTGTGCCAGTTGTAAAAGAAAATTGACTTTGGGTGGTGTCTGGAGCTCACTTATTCTGAAGTACATCTCTGTATCTTCCTTTAAAACTGTCAGAATTGCGCTTTTATTCCAGCCGAACCCTAGGGTTTTGAGTAAAGTCATTCACCTTGATTAAGCCATCAGGACCAATTCTGTTTGGGGGAAAAAAATAGATATCTGGAATTAGATTTAGCGAGCAATTAAAAAAGTATATTATATATTTATATATGTATATATCACCCAAATTAATTTCACTGCTGCTGCCCCCAACACTCCTATTCTTTTTCTTTAATTAAAAATGTTATTATTGTATGTGCACAATGTATGTGTGGAGGCCAGAGGACAATTCTGTGGAGTTGCTTCTATCTATCCTTACTGGTATGGTGGTCGGAATGAGAAGGGCTCCCCTAGGCTCAGACATTTGAGTGTCTGGTCCTCAGCTGGTAGAATTGTTTAGAATGATTTAGAAGGTATGGCCTTGTTGGAGGAAGCGTATCATCAACAAGGGCGGCCTTTGCGGCTTCAGAAACCTCAGGCCATTCCCAGTGTCTAGCTCTCTCTGTCTTACGTTTGTGGATCAAATGTAAGCCCTCAGCGCCAGCTTGAGCAATATGCGTGTGGCGTGCTCTCCCGCCATAATGGCCATGGCTCTAACCCTCTGGAATTGTAAGCAAGACTCTAATAAACTCTATCTTCTGTGAGCTGCCTTGGTTATAGTGTCTCTTCACAGCAATAAGAAAGCCTCAGGACACACGGGCTCCAAGATCACACTCGGGTCATCTGGCCTGACCAGCAAGCACCTTTACTAGCAGAGTCACCTTGCTGGCCCCTTTCCCTTTAGTCTTGGTTGCCTAATCGTCTGCTTCCCTCCCCTTCTCCTCTTTCTCTTTGGTTTCTCTGTTTTCCTGTGCCTTCTTTCTCCTCCATTGGTCAACTTAAGCTCATACAGAGGCAGCTGGCAGGTTTATTAAGTCACAAGTTTCTGGGCCTCACCCAAGAATTTCTTATCCTATAAATCCATGGTGAGTCTTGCATTCTGTGCTTCTACTATGCTCCAGGTGGGGGCTGCTTCAATCAGTCTCTGAAACCCTCCATGGGTCACTCTCCTAGACTGTTCCTTTTCTCAGTCAGTATTTCATGTTTCTCAGAACAGAAAAGTATGCAGATGTTCCTAGACTTACAATGGGGAGCAAGTCTTTGAATCCCTGTTGTGAGTGGAAAAGACCACGTGGAGGAGATGGCCCGGATGTTAAGAGTGCACATTGCTTTTGCAGAGGACCCGAGCTGAGTTTCTAGTACCCATGCTTGTTGGCTCATAACCACCTGTAACTCTGGCTTCGGGATATCTGGCTGGCACCTTTGACCTCCAAGAGCACATGTCACCTGCGCATGACCGCCACCTCTTCATCATTAAAACAAACCTTAAAATGTAAAGAATCTTTTCTTTTTAAAGAAATATAATGTCCGTAATGTACTTAATACCCCCAACCTATCTGGGCCCTCCCAGATCAGCCACACAGTAAACTATAAAGTATCGCTTCCCTAGCAATATGAAAAGCTGGTTGTTAGCTGTGATGTGGTGCATCTGCCAGTATCAGGGGAGATTATTGTACAATATTGCTAGCCCAGGAAATTATATCAAAGTTCAAAAAAATGAAATTTAGTTTTTACCGAATATGAATTCTTTTACGTCATTATAAAATTAAGAATTGTAGACGAAGCTACCAATGACAGGGACTGTCAGCAGCAGCCTCGCCTCTAGGTCCACGCCAGTGCACTTTTGCTCTCCCTTGCCAACAGTTTACTCACACTTCCTGTTCAATGTAGTTGAGCATCCTGCTGACATGGGATGAAGAGATCTCCCCATCCACTTCGGCAATATACGTGTAGAGAAACTGGAAGGTGCTGAAGGGGATCCGGGGCGGTCCTCCATCATGGTCGCCAGACAGCACTTCACACACTATCTTGAGAGTTTTGGCAATGGTCTAGAAAACCGTAAGACAGGAGGAGGAGAAAATCACTTTTCCAGGCTAGAGCCCTGAGATCAGGCTAGACTCAGGAAAGAAAACAAAGTCACTGCCCATGGAGGGTGGAGTGAGGAAAACCCAAGACTCCAGAAAGCTAACGTGTCAATCAACCCATTCCTTCGAAACACTGACTACCTCATGTCTTACCTTCCTTTCTGGAAGCAAATTTGATTTATAAACTGAAAAGTACTTGGAGATATTTGTAAGCTTAGTTAGAAGAATCTCTTCCAAGGAGAAGCGACTTTTCATTCTATAAAATTAGCACTCTCTTGGGCCGGGGAGATGTTGTGGTGAGAAAAGGTGCTGGGCATACAAAGCTGGGTGGCCTGAGGGTGATTCTCAGGACTCACATGTTGGAGAGTGTTATGGCATTCCCAAGCCTTCCCCGTGGGGAGCCACACCAAGGGCACAGGGATTGCTAAAGGTTTAATTGGTGCAAGAGTAATTCTGGCTATGCACAGAAGGGAGCCAGTCCTGCACAGCCATCCTCAGCGGTGTATGCAGCTTCACAGTCCCCAGCTACATTGTGAGTAATTAAACATGTTCCAAGGTTTGATGCTTGAACAAGTGGGGAGATTTCCAGTGTAACATTATTATAGCTGTCTCAAGCCAGCCTAGGCTGCTCTTCCCAGGCAGGTGTCAACCAGGAGCAGAATCCTGCTCTCCCTGATAAGAGAACCGAGTGCTCCTTAGCTAAATTCTGTTCTGTGTAACTTAACGTTTCCTAAGAAAGTTTTGTAGACCCTTTGAGACATCAACTTATTATTTTCAGTTTTTTTCTAAAAGAGAGCCAAGTCCTTCAGCCTGGCTTCTGACCTTGTGCACATGCACGCATACATAGTGAGTAAATGAAAAATGAAAAAAAAAAAGAAAATTAGAAATATTTATTACCTTCCAACTTTATCTCCTAAAGTGTAGAGATCTCTCTCTCCCTACATACCTATATAAATATATATGATAAATATAAGACACACACATACACACACACACACACACACACACACACACACACCTGGGGCAAAGCCCATAATAGGAGAAGACTTGAGGGAAGTGTACTATTTCTAAAGAGATAGGAGGCCCACAAGATAAACACCCATTTTTCATGAGCATCCACTTAAGTAAAACCACCTAATAAACAGTCCTGGTTAGTTCTTATCGTCAACTTGGCACAACCTAGCGCTACCTAGAAGAGGGAACCTCAATAGAGAAATTGCTTTGATCAGATTGGCTTGTGGGCATGTCTGTTTTATGACGAATTGGTGTCGGAGGGCACAGTCCACCGTGGAGGCACCATCCTCAGGCAGGATGCCCTGGACGGTATAAGAAAGCTCCTGACATCAATAATGAGTAGCCGGCCAGTAAACAGCATTCTTCCATGGTTTCCGCTCGTTTTCTTGCCTTTACTGCTCTCATTGATGGGCTATGGACATGGAAGTATAAGGTGAAGTAATTCTTTTCCTCCCCAAATTGTCTTTGGTCTGAGATTTATTACAGTATCAGAAAAATGACCTATTTTTGCTCACTCACTCACACACACAGATACACACACACATTTTGCTAGAGCTGCCAATGTAAAGATACATCCTCCAGGGCTCAGTCAAGAATTGGTCCTGAGTGGTGAGCTAAGTGCCCTGGATGATGAAGCAGCTGCTATATGTCCTTACACGACTTGCCAGAGAAGTTCTGTGGATGTTCGGCTCCCATCCCCTCCTAGAATGCATACTGTCTGGATGGTGCTTCTTTAACTGTGAGGCTAAGAGGATGTGAATAAATTTGGCTCATCTTCCTAGAGACGGTTTCACTGAATGGCAGTGATTTTTAAAGGTCATTTGCCCTAATTAATTACTATGCATTTTGAGTTAATAGTTAATTTTTATATCCATTTAACTCACATTGTATAAAATAGTATCTTTAACATGTAACAGTTTAAATATGATAAACCCTAGGTGTCAAAAAACTACTGAGGTTTATAGCTTTGAAACAGGTCAGTCTTCTGTTACATGTCTTCTGTAACATGGGGTGGGGGTCGGATGGCAAGATGTGTGTGTGAGGCTGTCGGTGGGTGGGGAAGGCCTAAGTGTCAGATGAAAGTGGTTTGGAGTGTATTTGTAAGCAAGCGTGTGTGTGTGTACTGAGCTGCATAATTCTGCCCACAGTATTCCCTAATATAATTCTGTCCCCCTACTTCCTGTGCTGCCCTCTTTTGGGGGTGCTATTATAGGCTGAACTATCCTCCACTCAAGTTCTTAAGTCCCAGAATTTCAGAATTTAAAGGGTTAATGAGAACTGAACGAAATGGGGAATACCTGTAATTGAAGTGCTCAGGAGGCTGAGGCAGGAGGATGGACACACAGTTCAAGACCATCCGGAGTGATATAATGACCTGCTGTCATAAAGCATAACACCAAGACAAAATGCGACCCACCATAAACGTTAAAAAGCGAATTAAATTGTAGCGAAATGAGCAGGGTGGATCTTAGCTCGGCATGACTGGTGTGTAGTGTGTGGCAGGGATGGCAGGAGAGAATGTACAGGCTCTGACATGGGAGGAGGAAGTTCCTCAGACGCCAGCAGAGGAGGCTTCAGAAGAATCCGCCTGCTAACATCACCACCTTGAACTGTCTGGCCTCCATGGTAAGACAATACTCTTTTGTTGTGTAAACCACCCAGCCTGTGGTAAGTTGTTGCAGCCCTTGCAAGCAACTAGGTTCTTTCGACGACCTCTAAACTCTAACGGCCTCATACTTTTGGTTTTTGTTATGTGTCTGTGTGTGAGCATGTGCACATGAGCACATGAGTGTAAGTTCCTCACAGTCTAGACCAGGCTGTAGCTGGTTTACTTGGAGTTGGAGTTACAGGTGGGTGGGAGCAGCCTGAAGAGACTTCCAGGAACTGAGCTCAGGTCCTCAGTAGTACAAAGTGCTCTTAACCACTGAGCCAGATCTCCAGTTCTCTTCATAAAACTATAAAATATTTTAAATAATATAAAAAGATCATGGATTGATGTAGGATTCCCCTCTGTATGCTGTGAGTGTTTTAATACCATTGGTTAATAAAGAAGCTGCTTGGGCCTATGGCAGGACAGAGTAAAGCCAGGCAGGAAATCCGAACAGAGATACAGAGAGTAGGAAGAGTCAAAGAGATGGCATATAGCTGCTGAAGGAGACAGACCAAAGAACCTCACTGGTAGGCGACATCCTTGTGGTGATACATAGATTAATAGAAATGGGTTAATTTAAGATGTCAGAACTGGCACAGAATATGTACAAGCTATTGGCCAAACAGTGTTGCAATTAATAAAGTTTCTATGTCATTATTCAAGTCTGGGTGGACAGGAAACATAAGAGCAGTCTCTGTTTACAATGGTTAAATAACTTATCGGAGTGGAACTTTTCAAAAATTCAATTTTAATGTAAACAGATCTTCACATTCTCTCTCATCAGGTTTGTATGTATGTATGTATGTATGTATGTGTGTATATATGTATGTGTGTGTTACTGAGGACTGCACTCTTGTGACTTCAGGCCCCACTCCTTGAAAGATTTCAACACATGAGTTCAGGGAACACATGCCGACTGCTTACAGCATGGAGCAGCCCCACAATTAAGCTCCAGCATGACGTAAGTGAGTATAGGTGTCTTCCTGAGTTCACAGGCACCTTTGGTATAGACTATACTTCCAGGCTGACTTCACTCCTGCGTGTTGGTGGACACAATGATGGGCATGAGGCTGTTTTGGTGGAAGCAGATAAATGGGACAGAAAGTTTGGACCTTATAGAACACCTGATCCAACATCCTTGTCTTGGAAGAGATGTAGAAAAACAGCTCACCTCCTGGCTTCCTCCAAGTTTGGGAGGCAGGCACATCAGAGCAAGCCTGCCAGGTATGTGATGTGCAAAGCAGAAAAGGAGTTGTGGCTTTCCAAAGTCCCCCCAGGATACTGTGAGGGATGGGGACATGAAGATGACTCAGCCATCTCACACACCAAAGCCAGGGAGCAGATGAGGACCATGTACACAAAACACTGGTGGGGATGTCAGAATGGCTAAAATCAAAAACACCAATGATAGCCTTTGCTGGAGAGGTTGTGGAGTAAGGGGCACACTCATCCATTGCTGGTGGGAATGCAAACTTGTGCAACCACTTTGGAAAGCAGTGTGGCGGTTTCTTAGGAAATTCGGGATCAACCTGCCCCAGGACCCAGCAATACCACTCTTGGGAATATACCCAAGAGATGCCCTGTCATATTACAAAAGCATTTGTTCAATTATGTTCATAGCAGCATTATTTGTAATAGCCAGAACCTGGAAACAACCTAGATGTCCTTCAATGGAAG